AATAATAATAATAAAGTTGGAGGGAACCTCCAACCCCCTGCTCAGGCAGGAAACCCTATACCATCTTGGACAAATGGCTGTCCAGTCTCTTCTTAAAAACTTCCAGTGTTGGAGCATTCACCGCTTCTGGAGGCAGGTTGTTCCACTGGTTAATTGTTCTAACTGTCAGGAAGCTTCTCCTTAGTTCTAGGTTGCTTCTCTCCTTGCTTAGTTTCCACCCGTTGCTTCTTGTCCTGCCTTCAGGCGCTTTGGAAAATAGCTTGATTCCCTCTTCTTTGTGGCAGCCCCTGAGATATTGGAACACTGCTATCATGTCCCCCCTCGTCCTTCTCTTCATTAAACTAGACATACCCAATTCCAGCAGCCGTTCCTTATATGTTTTAGCCTCCAGTCCCCTAATCATCTTTGTTGCTCTTCTTTGTACTCTTTCTAGAGTCTCAACATCTTTTTTACATCGTGGTGACCAAAACTGGATGCAGTATTCCAAGTGTGGCCTTACCAAGGCATTGTAAAGTGGTATTAACATTTCACGTGATCTTGATTCTATCCCTCTGTTAATGCAGCCTAGCACTGTGTTGGTCTTTTTGGCAGCTGCAGCACACTGCTGACTCATATTTAGGTGATTGTCCACTAGGACTCCGAGTCACAGTTACTACTATTGAGCAAGGTACCCTCTATACTATACCTGTGCATTTGGTTTTTCTTGCCTAAATGTAGAACCTTGCTTTTTACACCACTGAATTTCATTTTGTTAGATAGTGCCCAGTGTTCAAGTCTGTCCAGATCCTTCTGTATCTTAAGACTGACTTCTGGAGTGTTGGCTATTCCTGCCAGCTTGGTGTCGTCTGCAAATTTGATGAGTTCCCCATCTATCCCCTTGTCCAAATGGTTGATGAAGATGTTGAAGAGTCCTGGGCCCAGAACAGAGCCCTGGGGCACCCCACTACACACTTCCCTCCGTGTAGATGTGGTACCATTGAGGACCACACGCTGAGTACGGCCGGTCAGCCAGCTATGGATCCATCTGGTGGTGATGCTGTCTCCCCCACATTTTTCTATCTTGTCAAGTAGTAGGTTGTGATCTACTTTATCAAATGTCTTACTGAAGTCCAAGTAAATTATGTCCACAGCATTCCTCTGATCCACTAATTTTGTCACTTGGTCAAAGAATGCAATAAGATTTGTCTGGCATGATCTATTTTTGACAAACCCATGTTGGCTTTTAGAAATGACTTTGTTTGCCTCTAGGTGTTCGCTGATTCGTTGTTTGATTATCTTTTCCAGGATCTTCCCAGGTATTGAGGTCAGGCTGGTAGGTCTATTCTGGGTGCATATGAAAAAGGGACTCCATAAGATGATGATAGTTGCATGTTATATTCTCGTGGTGGCGAACCTATGGCACGCGTGCCACAGATGGCACGCAGAGCCCTCTCTGTGGGCACGCGTACCGTCGCCCCAGTCCTAGGCCTTCAGCTGGGTTTTATAAAACCTTTTCACTTTAAGCCTCCGCCACCGTGTGCAAAAAAAAAAAAGGTTCAATCAATCAATTTCAACATCTCATAGGGAAAAAAAAGATCTCGCAAATTTGGAATTGATTGATTGAACTTTTTAATCCCGCCCAGTCTGCCGTTACCACCAAAGCCATGCCCACCCAAAGGGCCACGCCCACTCAATTTGCCATGCCCACCCGATGGGCCACACCCACCCAACGGGCCATGCCCACCCGGCACCCAACGATGCATAAGTGGGTTTTGGATTGCAGTTTGGGCACTCGGTCTCTAAAAGGTTCGCCATCACTGTTATATTCCAATGATTAATGTAAACGAAAGAACCAGGGATTGGTTTTGGAGGAAAAAGTAAAATATTCTGAATAAATATAATCCAAATAAAAAAGTCTATGTTTAGCAAATAATTCAACATTACAAGACTATTGACATAAGACAAGAATAAATGGATGATTAAAGTGAATGACCAATAGAAAAATACACAGAACTGATTTTATCACAGAGAGAAAAAGGATTAAATCTCAAAATAAAAATGACAGAAGAAAAATGAGTAAGTAGAAATGAAGGAAAATCTAAGAAAGGTATGTTAGACTGAGTTAATGATATTCTCCAAAAGAGAGAATTTTAAACAAAAGGAACTGCATGAAATAGTATATTCTCAAATGAAAGCAAGGACTGCAAAAATAATGAGGTATTTATGAATGGCATTTCCTTTCCTCCTCCCTTTAATTGCTTTTTATTCTTTCTCTGACCTTTGTTTAATATTGCTTATTCCAAAATGGAATCGCATGATGGGTACGTGTGTATTTATGTATATATGTATCTCAAGTTGACTCGTAATGCACATTACAGAAATACTGTCAGGCAGCTGAATAAATCTGTAACTACTAAAGAAAAGTAGATATTAGTTGAGGTTAAACTTGTCTAAATTCTGAACAATAATGGTACTGAACCTATGCCCCTTAATAATTGATAAAGTGTATTACTAAAGTATTACTAAAGTTTGGAAAACATTTTGTAGTTGTACTAGATTCAAGATAGTTTATCTCTAGGTAAGTTTAATTTTCCTTTGTAGAAAGAGAAGATACACGTGGAGAAGTGAGTCCGGAAGATAAATTAGAAGACTGTTTACTTTTCATTAAATGAAAATGTACCTTGGGTTAATAAATGTAATGTGAGTAACTTCAGGGAAAGGCTTTTCAACTTTCTTTATCTGATCAAGTGGAGATTAAAAAATAATGATCCCTAAAATTCAAGAACACAATCACTAACAGTGTTAAAATTTTCTTCCAAATTAGCCCTTAACCCTGGGCAAGCCTACAGTCCATTTGCATCATCTCTCAGAATAGTCTTTGTTCCATATTAGGCCCAATTTGCAGTGCTTCCCTCCAAGATGGGTCCAACAATTATGGGAATTCAGACAGTAATTTCTGCATGTAGCCCCCCTCCATTTTCTTTGACATATTTTTTTAACCAGAAATTCTATTAAGGAAGGAAAAACATATTAGGTGCGCACAGCTCTTGGACTGGTGACAGTCGGGGATATTTGCCTAGAAGCATCCATGGTGGTAATTAAAGAACACTTTAAAAAAAAATGCATAAGATATTCTTGGCAGCTCCTCATCTGAAGAAGAGCAAGAGATGAAGAAAGGCCATAAAGCAGTGGTTCTCAACCTGTGGGTCGGGACCCCATTTGGGGTCGATCGACCATTTCACGGGGGTCGCCAAGCAAGGCTGTCCGCCATTTTTTTTGTCCGCCATTTTTTCCCCCTTTTCTGGCGGGTGCCTTACCTCCCTTGGGCTGGGCCAGCTGGTGGTCGGCCTGCTCCGTCCCTGCCGCTTGCCAGCTACGCCTCGGCTGGCGCAGGGGGCGGAACCACGCATACGCGGCTCTCCCGGGCAGGGAAAGTCCTCGACTTACGACCGGTTGGGTAGTCCTCGACTTACGACCGGCTTAGTCCTCGACTTACGACCGGTTTAGTCCTCGACTTACGACCGGTTTAGTCCTCGACTTACGACCGGTTGGGGTCGCGGCATTAAAAAGGTTGAGAACCACTGCCATAAAGCTTTGTTAGAATCACAACTTTCAGAGAAGAATCTGGGTCAAGAAATGTTACGGACAATACAATAAAAATTTCCTTTTCTTTGTAATTTTCTTAACACAAAAAGACATGTGAAATTAAAGGCTATGAGATAAAAGTTTGAGGATGCCATCAACAAAGACTTTGTAGGGCTAGGGACTATGCCATAACAGTGTAAATTTTTCAAGAGCTGGAAACAAAAACTTCCTTTATTAAGCTGAGCAGCGTAAAGCCTACTGTGAATTTTCATACCTTGTAAAATTCTCATCAGAATTTTCTGGCTTGGTCTTTCAGGTCACTGAGTATTAGTTTCTATAATCTTTTACTCTGTAAATCACTTGCTTTTGTCTAGGATAGACTATTGTTTGGAGATACAAACAGGAAACTAATGTGTCAGAAGTGGGAGATTTGTTCATGGAGCAGAACTAGTAATAATTTCAGAGAAAATGCAGTACTCTGTGAATATTACACAGTCACTGGTAATATACTTCATGCATCTTTTAAAAATGTATTTGCATATGTCAATAATACTGCATTATACTTTTTAAATATTAACTTTTTCCATTTTGATTTAATATGACTATGGGATTATTGTATAACTACAAACATCTTCAAACAACTGAGAAATAATTCAAGGTTTTAAAGTTATAAATATACACAGACTTTTTTGACTCATGATTTTGTTTCTCTTTTTCAAGGAAAAGGAAGGATTCAATGTATTGATGTCATCATCATCATCATTATCATCACCATCAAAACTATCCTAATCAACTGTGGCTGTTTCACAAAATTAACTGTCTCAAGATATCAAATAGACAAGAAATTTAACAATTTCAAAAACCGACAATAGAAAAAAATGCAAACTACAATGGGATCAAAATGTAGACGTAAAACAAAAATATTAATCAAATCATTCATTCTTGAATAAAATTATACAAAGTAACTCACTTAAGCCAATTCTATGATGAAAGCCTCTCAGAATGACTTCATGAGACAGCATACAATGAAATGTTCATAAACAGTATTTTAAAAAGTGCACAAATACATAGCTGTTGGAAGGAGAAAGAATATACATCCAAGCAAATACAAAAATCCTTTATAGATTAAGTAATGCTTCCGTATTCTGTATTTTTATGAATAAGAATGTTGGGTTAAGAAAAATATATAACTGTTTGCTCTTACATCGTGAAAGAATCAGAAGTAAGAAAGCATAAGAATAAAGAAGTCTGGTTCCAAAATATAATAAAATCCCAGTACACCTAAGAAAAAGTGATGAAATAAAAGAATTCCTAGAGGACACTTTTTAAAATTCTGATTATCTTGTTCCTTTTATTGTTTGATCCAACCTATATCTACTCTCAGCACAAGTATTGATGCATATTACCTGGTCTAACGACAAATTTAGTTGACTCACCTTGCTTTGTGTGGAGCACATGATGCAACCACATTGAAAACAATATTGACGCTTCAGATTCCGCTGACGTTCAGGAGTAGGCATTAGAGTTTCAGTATAACTGATGGTGAGCTGCATGTGACAAAGACCAGAAAGACATATTTTGACAAAGAATGCTTATAATACTTATGCAGCCATAAGAACAGCAAAAAAAAAAAGGTTTCCAAGGTTAAAATACTGGGTTGTCATCTAAGAGGGATAGCTGAACATTTTTTTTAACATTACATTAGAAAATAGGTAATCATTTTAAACCATAAACAACTTATATGGACATAATCGATAATTCTATATGGAAGCAAATTTCCAGTGAACACTGTAGAGTCAGGGAGAATTACTGAACTTCAACTGAGAGATTGAAAGGCGACTTCTGGAACATACATTTGTGATAACAAACAAACAAAAAGAACAAAACCAAGCCTGTTCAGTGGGGCAAGTGTCTACTTAGAACCACACAGAGTTACGTCCATTGCTGTCTGTCAAACTAAACTAACTCATAAGTTGAGCTGTAAGCACAAAGTGAATTGCAAAATCCATGCTCATCTTTACTTTATACCTGGTCCATTGTTATAGTAGATAATGCACCCTGAGCTTTATAAACTTATTTCACTTTTCCTCTTCTGGTGCATCTGTAAGGACATTGGAAACTTTCACGTCCTTTTGACAAACCTTCATGTTTAACCTCAAACTGTGACAAAGGTTAACAAATAAAAGTTTGTGCACATTTAGTTGTGAATAACATAGTAGAATTCTGAAAAATGCAAAATTTAGAGTGTCTGTCTGTCTGTCTGTCTGTCTGTCTGTCTGTGTTCCAAATATTCTATATATTTGGCAGGTGCCAATGCAAAATGAATGTATTCTCAATCTTTCCCAAATGACAAACACAAGTTTCCTGAGATTTGGACACAACACTAAACTATGGGTGGGTAAAAATGCTTTTAGTCACTGTTGTTATACTATAGGAGAATACAGTGAACAAACCCCAGTCTTATTCACTTAATGATAAGATACAGGTTAGTTTTATATTCAAATGAACTCAGAGATGAAGAATTACATTTTATTTTAATAATACCTCATTGCATTTATGTGTCCTACTTCTTTAATGATCTATTTATTGGTTTAAATGATTTACAGGGCTGCCCATCTCACAACAGTATGGTGAAGGTTTAAATTACAAAGTTTGGATGAAACTTTATTTAGCACCAGTGATTTGTGACTACCAATCATAATACTCTAGGTCAGAATGGACTGTCAACAATTCTTGAAGTGTGATTTACTGGGGCCACATATTGGGCATGGCATAGCTACTACTGGGGTAAAATGATCAGACCCATTTATTTCTCTGTTCCTTTCTCTAAAGCATCCTATTTATATTTACCACTCTCTATTCAGTTAGTTGCTGATGGCAAAATAGATTACTTTTGCCAGAGGACTGAATATATTATGAAATAAATCTTTTCTAATTATGCTGAAGACCAAATGCTTCTGAGGTCACTTTGTTTACAGGTGTAAATTATGATTGAAGTTATGTGCTTACAATTTAGGAAACCAACTGCTATCATCCTCATGAATATTTATTTAGTGAAGTCCATTCCTTGAGAAGACCAGGAATTTGAAAATTTATTTGCAGTGCTAGTATGATTCAATTTTAAAAAATATAAGGCTCCCAGGGTCTGCTTTAGGTCTTATGTTTTTTTTTTTAAATGATGGTACTTTTCTTGCTAGAAAAAGGTTAATCATAAGTGGTTTGGTAGTGAACTTCTCGTATGAGGCTGTCAGCTCTGGGATTATTCATTTAAAGGTATGAAATGTGACAAGCTTTATTTAATAGGTTTTAATCCTATGCTGTTAGTTTTAAAATTCTCAAGCTTTACAGTATAATCTAATTATTTTTAGCTATATATATGAATAGTATAAGCTAAAAATGCCGATATACCAGTCTTCCTCTACCTGCTACAAGAACTTTAATCCAGCACATCAAGAGATTCCGATAAGCTGCTTTCTAAAGTGAACAGAACTGTAGAACTATAAAATCAGCAAAAATTACCTGTAAATTTAATCCTATCCCCAAGTAACCAATGTTTTTCCGTTTTCAATCCCTACATTATATTCTTTGCCTCTTTTTCCCCTTGCCAAAGCTAACACTGGAGAGGAATATAGAAAAAAAGGCAGAAAGATTTGTTATGCTGCTGCTGGACTAAGATGGTATAATTGTTTTGGTATAATTTGGATTAGATTTGAAATTCAAGGAGCCTCTTAATTAGAAATTGGCTGTCAGATAACAGAGAGAGGGGGAGAGAGGAGGAGGGGGAGGGGGGAGGGAGGGAGGGAGGGAGGGAGGGAGAGAGAGAGAGAGAGAGAGAGAGAGAGAGAGAGAGAGAGAGAGAGAGAGAGAGAGAGAGAGAGAGAGAGATATGCACACAGACACCATATTCTATTTTGTATATTAATTCAGATTATTTGACATGGCCATCTTTAAAAAAAAGGAAAAGAAAATTGTGTGAAGAATTCTCTGACAAAAACACAAATCATTTAGAAGGGTAGTTCTTTTTAAATAAAACTTACAAGAAAACAACTTTTGCCTCATAGGTTCCTTGCAGGAAAGGTTTACTACTGTAAACCTTCAGCAGGGCTTTAGTCTGACAAAAGCTTACAACTGCAGTTATTTACTGCATGTTATATTGCACCCACATGTAGTTTTTCTTTGGTTTTGTTTCAGCCCAGAAAAGGTAGTCAAATGCAAACAAAATGAAGTGTAGAGGAGAAACAAAGAGAGAAAAAATTAAACAAATCTGCTAGTGATTTATGAGCAGCACTGCAATGATGAGGAGACCCATACTATTTGAAGAAAAGATTTATTTTGTTATGTTCTTCCTGAAAGCTATGAAACAGAAATAACATCAAGATACTATCAAGATATTCAATCTGCAAGTTTCTGGGATGGAAGAAGGAACAAATGAATTACCTCTTCTCCCAATTGCATTTCCCGGATGGACCGAAGGTGGAGTTGGGGACCCTCAAAGATGATCACACAATTAGGATCACAACTGTTGTTCAACAAGGACATGCTAATGAAGAAAAACAAAATGCAGATAAGAAATAGATATTACAGGAAAATATTTATTCTAGCAATCCATCTAGTTTAGTATCTCTCAGGTTGCATATGGAAATTGCATATGGAAGGACTCAAAAATTTATTGGTTTATGAGATTGCCCATCTTAAGTTAGTGATTCTGGGTGGATAACAGTACAGAAAAACATAAAAGAAGAAGAACAAAATTATCACAACACAATGCAGAGAGATCATGCTGGTCTCTACTAAATAAAATTTCAATTTCAATAAATTTAACTATATTTTAAATATAAATAAACTATAGAAGTTATTAAGAAAAATTCCAATGACCACCATCATAAAATATAAGCCACAAATCATTGTGTTTTTTTCTGTTCATTCTATGGGCTAGAATGGGCTTGATGCCTTTTGTATCTAGCTGAAAACTCCTTAATTTCATAACACATGGATACAACATAGAGTGTAAGGATTGCAAAACCCTTTACACAGACAGAAGATTAGCAGATCACATTCATGATCACATCTTAACTGTGGTTTCAAATGGGAAACTGTAACTATCCTAGACCAAGCCAAATCCAAAAATGCTAGAGAATTCCTGGAAGCCTGGCACTCTGACAAACTGGCCATCAACAAGCACATAGATATAAATAACATCTATATACCATTCAAAAGAAATAATCAACAAGCCAAAAGTACCAGAAAAACTTGCATCAATCAACACCCAGATAAGCAGGAATTAACTCCAAGATTAACATTAGACCAACAAACCTAACAATAAACAGCCCAACCAAAGAACCAACAAGACCACCCCCACCAACAGTGACAGGACAGGGCACTAGAATATAACATGTGAGCAAACCCCACTCCTTATTAATACTGATGATGTTACCTAGCCTGGATAATGAAACATCTGAAAGAAAACAACCACACTCAGAGTACATCAAGGACACCTCATTTTTTTTTTACAATTGTAAGCTGCCCAGGGTCATTGATTGAGATGGGCAGCTATAGAAATTGGCTACATAAATAAATAAAAACAATCAGCACAAGAATAATAAAATTAGCTGTTTGATAATGGATACTGAAATTATCTTTAAAAGCTGGATCTGAATTCGAAAATGCCTGAGGGGAAAAAACGTGAATAAGGGAATAGGTTTTTTTCCCTTTCTTTCTCTGAGTGCAATTCAATCCTGATATCATCATAAGGCCATTGGGGTTTTACTGCCTCCATTGAAAGCCAAAATAAGAGTGGTATATTTCTTAGCTGTCCTGTTCAGTTTCAACTGTCGGCAGTGATTTGGGGGAAATCCAGAGGAAGGTCAATCAGCAGCATAATAAGTCCTAAGGGATTCTGGGAAAATGCATTTCAGGACATGCAACATTTATTAGAAGAACTCAGGCATCCTGGAAAATTACAATTTCTTAAGATCTCTCTCACAGGCCAGAATATTGTTGTTGCAGAATACAAGGTAGAAGGGAGCTGTTCAATTTTTATTCATCAGAGTGATTCCCCCAGATAATCTCTTTTATTTGACAGCTGCTTCATTTTGAGCTCTCTTTCTTTCTCCACATGTGTGGATCCTTCCTTACATTGCTGCTGCTTTCAATCCTAGTTTTATTCCATAGGCCCATATCTGCAATTCTTTCTGGTTCACGATGCTTTAGCCTACCCTGAAGTCTCTCCCAAAAGCTGAGAAAACTGTTGCTGCCTCCCATTACTACAGGAGCATGACAAAGGGAAACAGCTATTGGACTCTTCTTGTTATCTATGAACAAAAGCTCAACAGAGCACGAATAGACAGTCTGGCTTCTTCATCCAGAACTCTTTATAACTGCTAAACAACCTGCTGAATGAGCTGTAGCCATGTTTCCTGGAAATCTATAAATTCCTGGAATAGCATGCAGCTAAACATAGGGAAAAATATGGTTTTAAATACTGCAAAGAGAGCCAGTTTGGTTTAGGGATTAAGACATCAGGCTAGAAACCAGGAGACCGTAAGTTCTAGTCCAGCCTTGGGTACAAAGCCAGGTGGGTGACTTGGGCTAGTTATGTTCTCTCAGCCTTAGGAAGGAGACAATGGCAAATCACTTCTGAAAAATTTTGCCAAGAAAACTGCAGGGACTTGTCCAGGCAGTCTACAAGAATTGGACATGATTGAACAGAAAAAAATAAAACCACTGCAGAAGAAAGAGGCAATTGAATGGGAAAGTCAGTATCAAAGAAAACTGTGGGTATGTTTGATTACCTTTGCAAAATTTGCCATGAATTTGTAATTTCTAACATAAAGGAAAGCAATATTAAATATGAGGGGAGTAATTTTATTAATTGTAATTAATATCATTAAATTAGAGATTTTATACTGCAACCTGATCGTGCCATTCAAGGGCAACCTGGGGCAGTCTCTGGTGAAAAGCTTTTCTCGTTCACTGTCAGAATAGTTGGACGGTAATATAAAACTCAAATCATCCAAAGTGGCAAGAACAAGATGAAGGTTGGTGTTTTCACTGGGTTGACTAACTATACTTTTGGGTATAGTGGTCATTTTCTATCTTGGTCTCAGGCCTCTTGTGCTAAGGATTTGCACACTTCTTTCAAGCAATTCTGTTACATTTCACAGAATTCTACCCTCAAAATTATCGTAGCCCTATTTCCACTGCACGCTGTGAATTCAGAGACTATAGTGCCATGCATTCCGTTTTATATTAGTTGAATTTCTTAATGTATTTGTAGAACCGGACATTTCAGCTGCTAGTCTGGAGAGAGGGAGGGAGGGAGGGAGGGAGGGAGAGAGAGAGAGAGGGAGGGAGGGAGGGAGGGAGAGAGAGAGAGAGAGAGAGAGAGAGAGAGAGAGAGAGAGAGAGAGAGAGAGAGAGAGAGAGAGTGTAAGTGTGTGTGTGTGGGGGGAGAGAGAGAGAGACACAGAAAGATTGATACAACTAGAACCACAAAGGTAATGCTTATCCACTGTACCTGGGATAAAGTCCAACACCAACATCCTGCATTTCTCCATTGCTTATGCTGAAACAGTTACAGGTCACCTGTAAAAACAAGGTTAAAATCTCTGATTAGGATTATTAGAGTAATTTAGAAACCTAATAAAATAACCTAATAAAGAGAAGGCAGCTAAGACAAAGGCCAAATAACCAGAATATTTTATCCCACACACAAACAATACCATTTCATATTACAATATATAAAGCAGAGATGCGGCTTTTATAACAAACCAGTTAGAAACAGAACTGCTAGTCTCTTCAATTAGATGCTGAAAATTGTTAGTTGTAATGTAAAAAGTACACAAATACTTTCAGTCCATGGATGCTTGCAAAATTATATTAATCATAAATTAAAATAAAATCTGCCCTCAAAATAATTGCAAATGCTTTGACAGCAAAGTTGATTTAAATGGATGGGTGTATATACAACATATATATACATATACACAAACATGCTCTGTTTTTTTTTCCTTAAATTACATTAATTAGTACGCCACTAGTTTAACCCATTCAGACATTCCCTATCATTTAGAAAAGCTGTACATCTTAATTACGTTTCTCCTGCAGCTATTGGAAACATAATTCCACAAAAGACTTGTGAGCTCTGATATGTTCATTTTAAGCAGCAAAAAATATTGGTTACAAAAATATTGACTTTGCTGTTCAGAACACAGATGAACAGCTCTTTGCAGGTGGGAGAAAAATTCTCCCTTTTTCTAAAATTCCAAAGAAAGCAGAAGGAGAGATTAAAAAAAAATACCCCTTCATTTTCTCAAAATCATTATGATACATAAGTAGATAAAGTGCTGCAGGCTAGCAGGTAGCGATTGACAGAAGCAGAATATGCCAGGGAGCCTTGAGAGTAGTAGTAGTAGTTGTCTGAATGCTGTTGGTAGCCCATTCACCTTTTAAACTAGCCTACTACACATAAATGCACACGATACTGTCAGCAGAGTTGAGTAGGGCTGAATCAGCACACAGGTAGGAATCAAGAGTTTGTCCTTTATCTTGGGCAAAAAACACTTTGTGCTGATGCTACTGTGGCAAAAGGAAAAGGCAAGCAAGCATTTGGAAATACTGTAACCATCATCTGCCTAGGCCAGGGGTAGGCAACCTTGGCTCTTTTATGACCCGTGGACTTCAAATCCCAGAATTCCTGAGCCAGCCATGCTGGCTCAGGAATTTTGGGAGTTGAAGTCCATGATTCATAAAAGAGCCAAGGTTGCCTACCCCTGGCCTAGTCCTTATGGTAGAAGGAGAAACTGACCACAGAGGAAGATTGTTTCTTGTGGGTTTCTTGTGCTCACTCAGAATGGCACACTATGGTGGATTTAATAGACTGGGGTGAATCCCTACATACTGTTGCCCAGAAGGAAATGGGAGAATAAAATGTCATTCTTGCTATGACCAATCCTTTATACAGAAACACCTGGAGACACAGAGGTGGCAATGATACGTTATTGAGCAGAGGATGCCGTCTGCATTCTCTTTTTCTACAGCCTAGTTTCTTTTTGACAGTAAGAGAAATGAAAAGAGGATGATTGTCTCCTGTGTGCATGCCTCTTTGCTTGTCTGAAAGGAGGTCACTTGCAGAGAGAAAAATAAAACTCAAGGAAGCATGGCAATGCTGTAAAGCTCCACTCTCTCTGCATTTTATTTCTCTACAGGATGTAATGGGAAGAATTGCGCTTGGCCAACCAAATGGAGCAAGAAGCAACTTTGTCAGTTGGAAGCCTTACTCTCTGTTTACTGGGAGGTACAGAGAATAATATAGAATAACAGGCTTGGAAGGGACCTTGGAGGTCTTCTAGTCCAACCCCCTGCTCAAGCAGGAGACCCTACACCATTCCAAACAAATGGCTGTCCAATCTATTGTTGAAACCTCCAGTGATGGAGCATCCACAACTTCTGGAGACTAGTTGTTCCATTAATTGTTTTCAGCATCAGAAAATGTTTCCTTAGTTCTAGGTTGGGTCTCTGTTTAATGATCTTCTACTTGTTACTTCTTCTCCTACCCTCGGGGTGCTTTGAAGACTAGGTTGATCCCCTCTCTGTGACAGCCTGTGAAGTGCTGGAACACAGCTATCATGTTACTCCTAATCCTTCTCTTTGATAGGATAGACATATCTAGTTCCCTTAACTGTTCATCATACATTTTAGTCTCCAGAATCCTTATAAGCTTTGTTGCTCTTCTCTGCACTTTCTAGGACCTCAGCATCTTTTTTATATTGTGGTAACCAGAACTTGATATAGTATTCAAAGTGTGGCCTCCTTAGTGCATCACTTTTTGTGATGTTGGTGCTATCCATCTGTTGATGCTTCCTAGGACTGCATTAGCTTTTTTGGAAGCTGCAGTAGACTGCTGATTCATACTTAAGTGGTGATCCACCAGGACACCCAGATTCCTCTCATTACTGATGAGACAGGTACCACCTATTTTATACCTGTGCATTTGATTTTACTTGCTTAGGTGCAGGACCTTACTTTTCTCACCATTGAACTGCATCTTGTTGGATAGAGCCCAATAATAAAGTCTATCCTTCTGAATCTTCAGTCTATCTTCTAAGACAGGGCTCTTCAGACTTGGCCCTCTTATGACTTATGGACTTCAACTCCCAGAATTCCTCAGTCAGCGTGCCTGGCTGAGGAATTTTGGGAGTTGAAGTCCACAAGTCATAAAAGGGCCAAGTTTGAAGATCCCTGCTCTAAGATGTTAATAATTCCTCCCAGCTTGATGTCATTTGCAAATTTGATGAGTTCCCCTTCTATCCCCTCATCTAAATCATTTATGAAGATAATGAAGAGTACTGGGCTTTAGAAAAAACCTTGAGGTACCCCACTTCATGCTTCCCTCCATGTAAATGTAGTTCCATTGAGGACTACATGCTAAGTGTGGTTGGTCAGCCAGTTTTAAGTCCATCTTGTGGTGATCCTGTCTATCCAACATTTTTTCTATCTTACCAAGAAGGCAGCTGTGGTCTACCTTGTCAAATGCCTAAGTAAACAATCTTCATAGCATTTTCCCAATCCACTAATTTAGTCACTTTGATTAATATGATTAATCTACTTTATGCACACCAAGTACCATCACTAGGGGCAAAGTTCAGTGAATGAATCATGAGATTCCTGCTTGCTTCATTTCACTGCTCAGAAAGAGAAGGACTCAGTAACTTCATTTGCCAGTAATTGGAAACCCTTTATGAACTTTTTGCTGAAAATAGAAAAAAATGAACTTGTGATTTATGAGTTGATTATTATAACTTGTGATTTATGAGTTGATGATTATAAAAGGTAGGCTATGGAAAGAAGGGAGCCACAATGTGACCTTAGAGAGGGGATAAAATATAGAAGCATTTATAACTTCCTGACAGTTAGAACAATTAACCAGTGGAACAACCTGCCTCCAGAAGTGGTGAATGCTTCAACACTGGAAGTTTTTAAGAAGAGACTGGACAGCCATTTGTCTGAAATGGTATAGGGTTTCCTGCCTGAGCAGGGGGTTGGACTAGATGACCTCCAAGGTCCCTTCCAACTTCTTCTTCTTCTTCTTCTTCTTCTTCTTCTTCTTCTTCTTCTTCTTCTTCTTCTTCTTCTTCTTCTTCTTCTTCTTCTTCTTCTTCTTCTTCTTCTCTTATTATTATTATTATTATTATTATTATTATTATTATTATTATTATTATTACTACTACTACTACTACTACTACTGCTGCTGAAGTCACTCTTTTATAGCTTTATTTTTATTTCCTTTCTCTTTCGTTTTCTTTCTTATTTACTGATCACTTTTTTAACTTTTCTTTATCTTTATTTCCTTTTTAAAAATTATAATGTTCTTATTCTGTAAACATTTCTTTAATAAAAAAATAATTAATAAAAGAAAGAAAGAAGTGGTCAAACACCCTGGCAGAGGTATCTGCTTTCCTAGATAGCCTAATAGGACCCTTCTCCTTTGCCATTGTGCCTAGGGAATGCAAACAAGAGAGAGAAGACAGAGGTATGCAGCTACTGCCATCTTATCTCAACCAACTACTGGAGGTAAAACTCAAGAGAAGGCATGGGAGCAAGGGAGAAAGTTTTTCAGGAAATCACTGACTGGGTGAGATCTCACTTTTCTTGCGCAACCTGTGCTACAAGGCAGAGAAAGGAGGAAGGGCTTGTATTTAATATTTGCTGCCTGGCTGCCTCTCGTTATATGGACATGATTTATATGACTACATGGCTAGAGTTACAAAAGAATTGCCTAGATACCCAAAAACACACGTGAATTCATGAACAAGGTAAAATGTACGAAGCCAACAAAATTCAAGAATGGAAACTATGTTTTTCACCTGAGTCATTATAGCATGATCTTTAGAAGATTGGCTTTGGATATGGATAGATCAGATTTAAATCTGTTGAGCCATAACATTCACAGGAGGAACAGGACAGATTGCTATTTCACTACTCTTCAGGATTCTATTAAAGCGTTGACATCGCCAGAGTAGTAAATTATGTTCTAAGATTTGTTGCAAACATAAACAGATGAAGGCATATCGATCTATGCACTTTCTTCTCATATTTTAAGTCAAAGGAGAAAATAGTGTATCCATATGCAGATGGCTAAAGATTAGATCTTAATGTAGGACTACCAGGTAGATATGTAAATGAGCCACCTATTAAGGAAAGGAGCAGTAGAAGGGCTATTAATGATTTATACCTACTGTGGATAAAGAAAATTCTGCTAATTAGCATGTGAGGCACCTCCAATATTAATGTATTCTTACAATTTGCATAACACTACTTATGGTATTGCTTCTAAGACTGCAATTTTTATAGCTGGCTAAAGCAGCCCAGTCATAACATGTCACCTCCATCTGTGGGATTTTTTACCCCGTTAAGATTTTTTTTCCTTTATTCCGTTTACTTAAGGATAAGCAAGCAACCCAGAGATGCTAACGGCTATATAAGTTAGCATCTAACCCTTAAAAAACAGATAAAAGATTCTCTATTAATTTCATATAATAGTAGTATTGAGGTGAAAGGTATCTTGAAATTAATCTAATAATTTA